CTGTGAGCTAACGGTTAGCTGTGAGCTAACGGTTAGCCTGTGAGCTAACGGTTAGCTGTGAGCTAACGGTTAGCCTGAGCTAACGGTTAGCCTGTGAGCTAACGGTTAGCCTGTGAGCTAACGGTTAGCCTGTGAGCTAACGGTTAGCCTGTGAGCTAACGGTTAGCTGTGAGCTAACAGTAGAGCTGCTCTCTTTCTTTTAATTCGCGGGTTGAATTAAACTTTATTAATCTTTATGAATCTTTACAAACAGCCTCTCCTTCATACTCACTCTTCTGTCTCTTCTTCTGTGACGAAGAATAAAAACACTTCTAGATTCAGACAGGAGATGTTTTCATGTTAACACTACTTCCGGGTTATAACCAAGGCGACCGTCAGAGTCAGTCCGAGTCTTAAAGGGCCAGCAGCACCCTCAGCTCTCTGTGGCAGCGCCCCCAGGCGGACAGGAGTGTGGATTCAAACGTCATGTTCTCTCTCTGGATGGTGACGTCACATTTATTTATTTTAAGTAAATAAGTTTGTTTCTATCTGATTACAACGTCAACATTTTCCAGTTGGATGCTTTTCCTTCCATATTCCCCCACGTTTCTGTGACGTCACGCCCCCCCCCCCCTCCAGGTGTAGAGAGACACACTGAGATGCATTATAATATAAATAAACATATTCTACACATCCTGCAAATGATTCAGACCGGTTTTATTTTTACATCTCAGAAACATCTTTTCATCTATTTATCATCAAGTACAACGAACACTGAAGGTCCTCTCATCTCTACAATGTGTTGTTGCAGAGAGTGTACAGCAGAGGGCGCTGTTACTCCATGTTTAGAGAGGAGGCGTTCAGGGGGAAAGGGTTTGAATGACACATGGGGTGCATTCAAATTGTCCCTCCTGTCTCTTCTCACTATCCACTTCACCTTTAACCCCGGAAGCATTTCAGTGGCGGCCATGATAAGAGCCGTTCGAATTCTCTAAAAGTTAAGGAAAGGTGGGTCAATGCTTCCTTTATAACCTCCTTTAGGATACACTGGACCATCCTTTACTAAAGGAGATGAGATATGACGTCCCACAATTCCTTGCATCCGCAACATTTAAAGCAACTCGCGCATCCGACCGTTCAGGAACATTAACGATGATCGTAAAGAGATAAAAGATAAGAGACATTTTTATCAGAGGATGTTTGATTCAACATATTTCATTCTCTTGCTTTGTGCTGCTGTACATTTGTATGTTTAAAACATTATGTGTAGGTTATATCTTACATTAATGTAACAAATTCATTTCATCCAATCATATTGATGTTGATGTTGATTTCTGATTGGACAGGAAGCTGATGGTTTCACTTTTCTTACTTGTAGCCTGGTAGTCTATATTTCTTTAATTTCACTTCCTCGTGGTGATCAGGATTATTTCACCGGTAAGAAGCACAGGGGAAAGTTTTTTAGATGATCTTT